CAAGAAGAAGAACAAGAACAAGAAGAACAAGAAGAACAAGAACAAGAAGAACAAGAACAAGAACAAGAACAAGAACTAGGATTACAATAGTGTCCTGGCAGTCTAGGGGAATCTAGTGGATGGATGGAAATCAGCAATGAAAGGGCCTGGGTAGGGACAGAGAGACAGACTGTGACTTTATGTATTGGACAAAGAGCTAGGATTAGTGTGTGGGTCCTGAGAGGATAACATTTAACTTTTGTGCCCAAAGTGCTCAGTATTCATATACATTGCATTATATACCAAAGTTAGTCGTAAAGGATGGTAGAATGCATTAAAAACACAGTTGGTTATGAGAATAACTTTGTGTCATTGTTGCTGAAACTGTCACGACATTTTGAAAGAAGTACATGTGACAGATAAACCACATTTATAGGTTTAGTACCTTTAGAGCCATGTGTAACCCTTACCAACATGTACCTAAACCCTAGATCTGTTAAGCGTTTCCACTGCAGACAGTACTGCTACATGTAAGCAGGGTTGCGGTTACTCACTGCTCCATTAGGCTCTTACTGTACTTCCTCTTCACCATGCAGAGGAACCTGTGCATAGGGCTGGGCGATATGGACAAAAATTCATATCTCGATATTTACAGGCTGACTGGCGATAGGCGATATATATCTCTGTATTTTCTACGAAATGGGCTACATATTGTATTGTAAGTTGCCAGGAGCTGACACAACACCGGCAGTAGTCTTTTAGAGGCACAGCTAGCTAAGTGTTAACTAGTAAAGATGAAAAGGCAGCAAAACTCCCTTTCATTTTATACTTAGCCTATAGTTTCTTCATGTATGAAAAACAGTGTGAACGTAGTTACTTCAAACCACAGTGTGGTCAGCAACAATCAGTTAGAGCCGAGGAGTCTCTGATGCCTGCGGCCACGCTGCCTGCATGAGCAGTGCGTGCATCGCGGAACCTGTTGTATTTTTTTTTTTGTCACCAATGTTAACAGGTTACAGCAGCCACACTGCCTGCATGAACAATGCTGCTCAGCTGTGGCCAGTGTTGGGTGTAACGTGTTACAAAATAACAAAGTAACGCTTTACCGCCAAAAATGGCTTTTTTCAGTAACGAGTAGTGTAAGGCACTACTGTCCCTAAATGCAGCAATCACATTACAGTTACTAATCAAACACTTAAGTCATTACTTGTGTTACATAAATTCATCATTAGAGCTTCCCTTTCCTTAAGAGTTAGTGACGACGGGCTTCAGGCTGTTGCCAACGGGTCGTCCTCCGTGTCCAGCTGGTGTTGTGCCGTATGAAGCACGCCAGCCGTGAAAAGCACCCATGGTCTTGGGAATACGCGTTCCCGCCGCGACCAGGGGTGCTTTTCACAGCAGGCATGCTTAATACGGCACAACACCGGCTGGACACGCTGGACGCTTCATGTGTTGCCCCCTCATGAAGCCAATTCTGGGTATATCCATCTAGTTAACTATACTACCTTAGGATTGTTACACATATGTAAGGTTTAATGCTATATCGTTAACTGGCAAATTATGTGACAATGCATTTCAGGCAATTTTACAGAGTAACCAGTAATGTAATGAGTATTGTAACTAATTACTTTCCCCAGAGAGTAATCAAGTAAAGTAAGAGATTACTTTTTTCCAAAGTAATGTATAATGTGTAATACATTACTTTTTTAAGTAATGACCCCCAACACTGGCTGTGGTACATCCTAGAGAATAGGAGTATTTTTTTTCTTCCACATGCCGTGCTCAGTTTTTCAGCCAAATGGACAGTGAAAGTGGTCTTTTGACAACCATATTGGCATTACACCACATTTTACTACAGTTTCAATGTCTTTATCTGTCATGAAAAAATATTAAAAAATCTTTTTAACTCTAACTTTCCTGTTTCTGTTTCAAATCAAAAGCCCTCTGACCACATTTCTGTTGACAAAATCCTTTCATTTGTTAACACGAGGCTTTTAATTGTGAAATATATGAATGACAGTGTGGTTGACAATGCAGTGGCTCTCACGGCTCCATAAATTTGTGGAGTACCAGCTTTTAATTGTGGAAATACGGTAGTTACAGAAGCAGGCAGCTCTGCAGTGGTGCCACAGCAGCAGCAACGCTGTCTGTGTGAGCATTGCACATGTGTGAGCAGCAGCAGTGCAGCAAAGTAGTCGTCATGCACTGCTCACACAGACAGCGTGGCCCGGGCATAATGCAACTGTCAATCATGTCAATTGCTCAGTGAACTGAGCTCAAAGTAGTGCTCTAATTCTCTACCTGAGCCCAACTGGGCCCAACCCCACCTGCCAGGTGTGGGCAGGGCTGTAATTTCTAATTATTCATTATTTAGCATTTTTTAATAGAACTGGCAGTTTGTCACGCGTAAATGGTGGGAGTTGTAATGGACTGGACCAAGTGGGAAAGAAAGAGAAAGAGGGGGGACTGCCACTGAGACAGGGAAATTGACGGATTATTTTTTACAGTCTATGCTTGCTACTCCCATTAAACTGTAGCCTCTCCAACATATCCCGTTTACTGTGTTCTCATTTACCCTCATGATGATGGGATATCAATGTAAGAAATGCAAATTTATCATACAAATCATCAACCAAAATGTTATTTTCTATTTCTCCTTAGACATTACAGAAAAGATTTCTGCACGAAATGTTTGATGGATCTTAATGTGTGGTTTGGTTTCTACAGCACTCACGACTTTCTGCTTTTTTTCCCCTTTTTGTCCTTATAGGAAAAAAAGAAGCTTAAAGATAAGTTTCTCCAGTCGTGGAGGAGCAGAAAGCCGTCTCTGGTTTTAGTGAGTGGTGGTGAGTTTTCTTCATACTGGGAGTCACAGGCTGACTTGTTGGAGAACCTGATGGTGAGTCATCATTACAGTCATCACTGCTGTTGGTCAGTTACACAGACACTAAAACAAAACCTGCATGGCGTGTACAGAAAGGTGTTTTCATCCATCAGTAGCTCTAAGAAAATTTATTTGGTTTCCACTGTTTTTACTTCACACTGCCACACCCTAAGAATCTCCCTTTTCCTGTTCTTGACAGTAGAGATGATAGGAAATGAGGGGAGAGAGATGGGGATTGACATGCAACAAAGATCCTCAGCTGTAGTCAAACTGGAGACATTACAATTCATCATCAGTACATTAACATCTACACTCACCAGGGCATCCACAGATTGATTTAAAAAGTCTGTGTTGCATTAACTCACAGCCATTGTTTTTACACCATCTGAAAAATTAATGGAAACTAATGGATGCATGAAACAGAAAGAAAAGTGCATCCAAATTTAAAAAAAACTGCAGCACTCTCTTTAAGTCCTTCTTAGCTACGACCAGCAGCACTATAGCTCACTCTGTTGGTTGGCTGGTCAGTTGGTCAACAACAATTGTCCCCAGCCTTTGGCTGCCACAGTTTTTGCCCTAGGAGGCTGAAATTTAGCTTGGAGGTTGCAGCCATTGCAAATTAATGCTTGTTTGTCTTTAATCCTTCCTTTGAATGCTGAGTTTCGGGGGGGTTTTTATGGAGCATCGACTCCAGAAAACTGGCAAGGGCTTGATTATAATAGACGTTCAATTGTAAAAGTCCCGCACACCAGTTTTAAACTTGCAAATATTGCTGATATGGTCATATAACATCTGCTTAAGGCAAAAGGTAAAACAACAAAAGCCTCATTGCTCCTTTATAATGCCACTTCTTCATTCCCTTTTGTGACAGGGGTGTAATAACATTACAAAGACTGTACTCATCTTCATGAAGAGCCGCTTCTTCCTCTCCTTTCTATGTCTTTTAACACTGGGTCTTCTCGTTGGATGGCCAAGAGGATTCCACACCCTGACAGCCAGATATCCCTCAACCTTCCGTAAGTGGAGCAGCAGTAGACGAGTCACCATCTTGATGTGGCACCGGCCCTTCGGTGAGTCGTCAAGCCTGCAGGGTGATGTTTGCTGGGATCTCCACCGCATCCCTAACTGTAAACTGGTGGACCAGCGCTCCTTGTTCCCCTTTGCTGATGTGGTGGTGTTCCACAACAGAGAGCTGTCAGAGGGCACCGAAAAACTGCCCCTGCACCTTCCACGGCCACGGGGCCAGAGGTGGGCTTGGATGACTATGGAGTCCCCTGCTCACAATGGAGACTTGTACCAGTATGCAAATATCTTCAACATGACCATAACCCACAGGAGGGATGCTGATATCAGTATACCCTATGGTGAGCGGCTACCTAAGAAGGCTGAAGGACATCTGCCGGAAGACGTCCCTCAGAATAAGAGCTTCTTAGCCTGTTGGGTGGTCAGCAACTACAGGGCCCACCACAGGAGAACCCAAGTGTATAAGGAGCTCAGTGCCAGAATTCCTGTGAAGGTTTACGGTCAGTGGGCAAATACACCCCTTGACGCTTCAGCTCTCTTACCTACAATCTCTCGCTGCTACTTCTGTTTGGCTTTTGAGAACTCAATCGCCAAAGATTACATCACAGAGAAGCTGTGGAGGAATGCTTACCAAAGTGGGGCGGTGCCTGTCGTCCTTGGACCGCCATTAGAGGATTACAAAGCCGTGGCTCCACCTAATTCTTTCATCCATGTTGATGAGTTTGCATCAGTCAAAGACTTGGCAAAGTATCTACAACAGCTTGCAGAGGACAAGAAACGCTACAGTGAGTATTTTGCCTGGAAACATCAGTGGAAAGTGAAGTTGTCCATAGACTGGAGGGAGAGCCTGTGCAAGATCTGCTTGAAATACAACAGCTTACCACGGAAGAAAGTTTACTCCGACCTACAGGCTTGGAACAAGGCTAATAACAGCTGAGCTTGCCTAGTTGTTAAGGTGTCACTTACCACATCAGAATCAGAATAAGATTTATTACCAAATAGGTTTTTCACTTACGAGCAATTAGGTATAAGAGGAAAGTTACAATTAAAATATGACAAAGATACTTTTAAAAAGTACTAATAGACACAAACACACACAAAAGCTGTGGCGGCCATGAGTGGCACCATCTTGGTACACATTTTAGACAAATTAGCAGGCATCATGACCACTTTATTTCTATTTTATTATTAGTAATGTTTATGTGCATCATACTTATTGTCCTTATATCACTGATGATTCATTTCTTCCAGTGTGTTTAGTTTTAATATTATTGCTCTGCCAATAAAATAAATCTGCAAACAGTGATAATCAGACCAAGAGAAACATAGCTGACAAAAAATGGTAGAAAATGAAAATTTGAACACTGCAGGAAAAAAAACTGAATAATGACATTCTTGAGACTTAGGAAAATGTTCTCCAAGGTTGTAGCAGAAACATAGCTAGCTACTTATTGAAAGGTCAATTAAGTAGTCTACATCCATCAAAATCTACTGCGTGATCATTGGTGGACACACGATGGTGGAGACCTTTAAAACACTGAAAACGTTTAAATGTTGAAGAACTGAAGACAAGTTTTGCTTTTGGTTTCATGTTAAATACTTTGTTGTAGATGCTCCTTGCAAATAAGGGGAGGATCATGAGAATCAGAAATGGATTTATTGCCAAGTAGGTTTTCACTTACAAGGAATTTGCTTTGGTTTTTTTGGTGCATAGTACATAGAAATGTGTTAACATATGACAAAATCATGACCAATAAAAGTTTGATTAGTTTTAATGTCCTCTCTTTACTCAAAGAGAAAAGGCCTTGAGCTTGAAATCAACTCCAGTTTTCTACTGCTGCAATTGCTGTGTCAGTGTATCCTATCTAAGCATTTTTATATTTTCATAATATGGTACCATTCAGAAAGCAGGCACTATGTTGAATGACTTGATATCAAAAAGCCTTCTTTTTCTTTGTATTTGGTATTTGTCACTTTATATTTGTACTGTATTTGGTTTTGATGATGTCCAAGGGTTTGGTCTGTTAACTGTTTATTTCACGCTAATAAAAAGGATGACTTGTCATTGCAGGAAACACCATGAACAACATGTGATCCAAACGAAGCTCAGCTTCGTCAAACCAATGAAAAACAGGAGGTATTTTCAGTGACTGTAGGTAATGATTCAGTTTGTTGACATGTCTCATTAGGACCAAATTAACTATTAAATATTTAAATAAAACTATTTTATAGTTGAAACTTGTTTATTTTGTTATCAATAATGTCTATAGTTTGATTTGGCAACACATTGGAGCAATTTTAGCAACAGTAACAAGCTAAGACACTGTTAATTAGGAAGTACTCATTTGCAGACACTGGGGATTTTTATCATCTCATTTGAGGATATTGGGTCTTAATTATTGTTTATAATGTTTAGTTTTTTTATACTTAACAAGTCCTACTTATCCCAAATAGCTAGGAGAAATTGAAAATGCACACCAAACAAAAGTTTGGGTCTCAGAAGGATAGGGACTTCTAAGTCATGTGAGGTACAGTCAAGAGCAGTGACTAAATAACATCTAATGTCTTTGTGTCTGAAGGTTACAGTCATCAGAGTAAAAAATAACGTCTTCAAACACAGTAAAATAAATATATTGACTCATTCATGTATTTATTTTCTGTAACCACTTATCCTGTTGGGGGTCACAGGGGGGCTGGAGCCTATCCCAGCTGACATTGGGTGAGAGGCAGGGTACACCCTGGACAGGTCACCAGACTATCACAGGGCTGACACATAGAGACAGACAACCGAGTATTCAGAGAAAACCCACGCTGACACAGGGAGAACATGCAAAGTCCACACAGAGGCGTTCCCCATCCCTCGGTTCAAACTGGGAACCCTCTTACTGTGAGGTGACAATACTAACCACTGCACCACCATGCCACCAAATTAATATAGACAGCATAAATATACTGTAAACAGAACAATATAAAATTAAAAGTTGTTTATAAAGTTAGCAATTGTAAAGCATCTGTCTAGTCTTCTGACCACTCAAAGCACTCTCATACAACATGTCACATTCACCCACACACACACACACACACATTACCACAGTGGTGGCTGATGCTACCATACAAGGTGCTCACCTTAACATTCACGTGGATACTTCGACATGCAGACTGAGGGGCTGGGGATCGACCAGTGATCTTCTGACTGGTGGACTATCTGCTCTACCTACTGAGGCACTGTGAAAATACAAGCAATAAATAAACTGTACAGACAGGCGCATCTAAGTTTATGTTTCAAAAATAAATAATAAAAATAAAAAACAAATAATCATAATAATGCAGGACCTGCATTAGAAAAAGTATTAGATATTTCTATTCTACTTATACTGTATTTGTATTGTAGCATATTATATTAAAAAAATGCACTTGGTCAAATTATATATAATAAGTAAACAATGTACCTGCAAAAACCTGAGGCTTTGGGGGTCTCTTGGGGTCCTGGCCCCTGGAACAGTGGCCCAGTTTGTCGGGTCCATACTCCAGCCAACAACACATGACAAACACAAATTCAGTGTGAGTTCAATGTCTATCTTATCCTGCAGCGTACTGCCCTCTTGTGATCATTTAATATACTGACATAAATGTCACCAGACAACCTGAAGATGCAGTTAAATATTTGGATGTGACAGAGTTTGGTTTCAAATGCAATACAAGCAGTTTCTGTACTGTTCAGGTATTCGTTAAGCTGTAAGATCAACTGTAACAAGAGACTATCACTACTGATTTTATAGATAACAGAATAAATCCATCCATCCATTTTCGAACCACTTATCCTCTTGAGGGTTGCAGGTGGGCTGGAGCCTGTTCCAGCTGACACTGGGTGAGAGGCAGGGTACACCCTGGACAGGTCACCAGACTATCACAGGGCTGACACATAGAGACAGACAACCATTCACACTCACATTCACACCTACGGACAATTTAGAGTCACCAATTAACCTGCATGTCTTTGGACTGTGGGAGGAAGCCGGAGTACCCTGAGAAAACCCACGCTGACATGAGGAGAACATGCAAACTCCTCACAGACGGACCTCCCCAGCCTGGGGTTCGAAAAGTTCTACTAGTTTCCTTTGTGTAGATATACATATGACAACAACAGAGCAAAGACCTCATCAGTCAGTTATGATCTGGAACATGACCTTTTATTTTGAGATATAGTTTGGTTTGCCACTTTCTGTTCATGACCATCAGCTCATAAATTTCTGAACACTTAGGAGGTTGATGAGGGTGGCACTCATGAAATTTTCATTGTGTTTTCAGCTTCTCCGTCAACAGGCAGCACAACGGAGCCTTTGCTGCTCTAGAAGATTTTAGATATGTGATTTCAGCTCATGTTTTTGTGCACTTAAGTCCAACTTTATCACGCTGAGAGAATAAAAAGAGCACAATCAACAACAGAAACATGAACCACACATGCACACAGGCAGTCATTCAGTGCCTGTGCCACAATTTGGTTAATACTTTGCACATCAGTACTCTCTCTGGTAATTTGTTTGTACAAGGGCACATAATTAACTCATTCCTCCTCCCAATTTTTTTTTACAAACCACTTTACATTTATATATCACATTACATTTTGGTAATCTCTTTTACTCTCCATAACAGAGCTACACTAATGGCTCACTGGTGTGTGCTCACCCTTGTGTAACCCCTATGTTAACTCTGATTACACTTCCTCTTTTCACACATGCAGCAAACACCTTGTGATATGATAACTTGTTCTTGCAGAGTATTGCCAAACAGAGACAAAGATGCAGAATACTGGGACATCACATTTACTAGAAAGCAGGAACTGGAAGATGTGGCTGGACAGAGAGAGGTGGTGAGCATGTCGCATGCTGAGCTCATATCATATTCAACAATCTTACAAAGAGCCACACCTCAGCTTCCTTAAAAGGGGCTGCATTTTTGGCTTTTAAAGCGCTTCAAGCTCATCATCACGTCTCTGCCAGCGGCGACCAAAAATGGTATCAGTGGTGAGTGAGGACGGAGAACAGACCGCTCATCTAGTGATCAGGTTAGTGGAGGAAGCTTGGGGTTTTCTTTGTCATGCATCTTTCTGGTCAATGTGGTCTGGCTTCTGAAACACATATTCTTTGATGATCTCTCTTTGGCAAGAAGTACAAAGTCATCAGCTCTGTGTCAAAGTTGATTAGTCTACTGTTGGATAAATACATGCAGGGTTGAGAGCAAACTGGTTTGTCCTTTGCACCTTCACAGCAGCCAGTGAAAAGAACAGTGCCACTGCCAACATAAGTCTTTCACCACATCCTGTTCACAGTTGGCACTGAAGTCTCAACTATATAGAGAATGTGAATTATTGTAATAATATCCAACCATATGTGCACATATTTTAAGTCTCAAAAGAAAGTCTAACACTAAACTAAAATCTGAGCAGTTTGTTTTATGTTAGTGGATTACAGTTGCAACCAGTGAAGTTTATTTTTACATTTTCTAATCACAGATGTGGTTTGAGCTGTGGTGCTGCTGTTTTTCACAGTGTGGTTCTGCGTACTCTCCTTTACTTTATACTGCAGGCTGCTCTTAATATCGACCCTGTGTTCAGATAATGTGAGGCATGACAGCTGCAGGTAGCATATAAAGAGCCTGAGAGCACACACAGATGACTTGATGCAAAAACGGTTATCTGGCCGAAGATTTGTTCAGCTTTGTTGCCCTCTGCCCTACTATATAGCATATGCAGTGTAGTGCAAACCGGAATCAGGGGTATGAAGCAATGGGATATGAAATATGACAACCTTTCAGCCTGCAGTATGCAGTAACAGCAACTACATCATTCATAAGGTGGTGTACAGACAGTTAAAGTTGTTTGTGCCATCCAAATTTAATAAAGTCCACAGAAATAGAGTTTATTTTCTACACTTTCTGTGGACGTATCCACATTCTGAAATAATAAATATGTCCATACTTGTGTACAGCATCTTTCTTTGGGTGTTTTCTTCTATGTGTTTGCCTTTTCTCATTAATGCTAACATAGAAAAAACATTTTTTAATCAGATTATCTCCTTCTAATTTTGCACTACTCTCAATATGCCCTTTGTGTGTCTCACATCCGGTGTGAGCCTTCATTAGTTCCTTATTTGCACACAGTTCTGTTAAAGGTCTTTCGTGTTAAGCAAAGGGAGACCCTCTATTTTCAATTCTGTGATCTATTACAAAATCCTGTTTTCTTTATGATTTCACAATTAATAATGTCCTCTCCCAAGAGGACACACATCCTGTACAGCAGTGAGGCCTGCAACTTCACAAAAAAAGTATTTGTTCTGTCTCAGTGATTGAATTTTAATGCAAGAAATGCAAACTCGTTTTAAAAATCATCAACCAAAATGTTCCTTTCTATCTCTCCTGTAACGTTACAGAAAACATTTACAAAGTAACCGCATGAAATGTTTGACGGCTCTTAATATGTGGTTTGGTTTCTATAGCACTTATGACTATGCTTTTTTCCTTTTTGTCTGAATAGAAAAAAAATAAGCTTATACACAAGTTTCTGGAGTTGCAGAGGAGCAGAATACTGTCTCAGTCACACAGTAACTTATGGTGAGTTCACATTACAGTAATCACTGCCGTTAGTCAGTTACACAGACACTAAAACAAAATCTGCATGGCGTGTACAGAAAGGTGTTTCCATCCATCAGTAGCTCTAAGAAAATTAATTTGGTTTCCACTGTTTTTGCTTCACACTGCCACACCCTAAGAATCTCCCTTTGAGATGGTGTCTCATTTTTCCTGTTTACAAATGTCAGTGCAAGGTCACGCTTACCAACTGTTTCGGTACTGTCTGTGAGCCTCCAGCAGTAACCTTGAGCGGACCCTGAATGGAAATTTGATGCACTGAATAAAATAGTGTGCCTTTTTATATGTTCAATAAATCTGTTTGTTTGTCCCAGGTGACTTACACCAAAGGTTTGAATAATAGTGAGCTATATTTTTTTAGTGAGCTAGATTTTGTATATTTTTAAATATACAAAGAGAGTTTAGAGAGCTCTGATACAGCTGGACTCCAACTTAGGACATTGTGGGTCATCATCAGCATCTTAACTCTTACATTAACAAGGGCATCCACAGATTGATTTACAAAGTTTGTGCTGATTACCTCAGCAATGATTTTATGCATGAGACAGTGATAAAAAATGCATCTAAATTTCTAAAACACAGCAGCATAGTTTGCAAAATGGTTTGTTGTGATGTTCATTTACATGTAAAAGTCCCACATTCCAGCTTTAAACCTGCAAGAATCACTGATATGGTCAATTTAAAATGTGCTTTAAACAAAGGGTAAAGCCACAAAACCTCATTGCTCCATTATATCCCTACTTCTAATTCCCTTTTGTGACAGGAGGGTGGTACCACTACAAAGACTGTACTCAGCTCAACAAGGAGGCGCTTCCTCCTCTCCTTTCTCTTAGTTTTACCACTGGGTCTTCTCAATGGATGGCCAAGGGGATTCCAGACTCAGACAGCCAGATATCGGAACTGGAGCAGTAGTAGAAACATCACCATCCTGCTGTGGTACTGGCCCTTCGGCAGGTCATTCAGCCTGAAGGGTGACGTTTGCTGGGACCTCTACAGCATCCCTCACTGTAGACTGGTGGACCAGCGCTCCTTGTTCCCCTCAGCCGATGTGGTGGTGTTCCACAACAAAGAGCTGGCAGTACGCCGACAAAACCTGCCCCTGCACCTTCCACGACCACGGGGCCAGAGGTGGGCCTGGATGTCCCTTGAAGCCCCTGCTCACAATGGAAACTTGAGTCAGTATGCAAACATTTTTAACATGACTATAACGTACAGGAGGGATGCTGATGTCACTGTACCATACGGCGAGCTGCTACCTAAGAAGGCTGAAGGACATCTGGCGGAAGACGTCCCTCAGAATAAGAGCTTCTTGGCCTGTTGGGTGGTCAGCAACTACAGGAACCGTCACAAGAGAAGCCAAGTGTACAAAGAGCTCAATGCCACGGTTCCTGTGAAGGTTTACGGTCGGTGGACAAAGACACCCCTTCGCTCTTCAGTTCTCTTACCTACAATCTCTCGCTGCTACTTCTATTTGGCTTTTGAGAACTCAATCGCCAAAGATTACATCACAGAGAAGCTGTGGAGGAACGCTTACCAAGGCGGGGCGGTGCCTGTTGTCCTTGGACCGCCATTAGAGGATTACAAAGCCATGGCTCCACCTAATTCTTTCATCCATGTTGATGAGTTTGCATCAGTCAAAGACTTGGGAAAGTATCTACAACAGCTTGCAGAGGACAAGAAACGCTACAGTGAGTATTTCACCTGGAAACGTCAGTGGAAAGTGAAGTTGTCCATAGACTGGAGGGAGAGAGTGTGCAAGATCTGCTCACAGTACAACAGTTTACCTCAGGAGAAAATTTACTCCGACCTAGAGGCCTGGGTCAAGGCTAATAACAGCTGAGCTTGCATAATTGTAGTTGAGGGAATAGTTTGGATCTTTGAAAGTTGGGCTGTATGGGGTACATAGCCATAGACAGTGTGTTGCATACAGTAAATGTTGGTCGACACGCTCCTAGTTTGTTAGCAGGAGTTCCACTTCGAAACAAAACAATGCACTGCTGTGGATGGGGTCAGCAGCAAAACATGTTTTAGCCACCTAATTTAAGTCCCACTTGAATAAAATCAATAAAAATGTAAGTGTACGCTGTATGTAGAACATTTTCAGAGCTTTACATTTCAGTCACACAGCCCCTTCTGAGAGGGAGGTCATTAACAGCTTCAGTTGTCCATTTCGTCAAAGCTACCAGACTCCATTGAGAAAAATAGTGATTTTAGCTTGATGAACACAGATCCACTGCTGCCCCAAATTAGTTTGTTTGTGTTATTGTGTGACTTTGGTGAATCCAAACTAACCTTAAACACCAAGGTCAGGTCACACAATAACACAAACTAACTAATGGAGGCAGAGGTACACCAGTAGCTCCTGTATCCAACAATATTTAATTACTGCTTTTCTTAATGGAGTCTGGCATTAGGTGATAAAACAGCTTTAGTTCCCAGATGCAAAATGTTGCCTAATGGCAAGGTAAAGCAGTGAAAATATTTTAAATGTAGCCTCTTGAATTGATTCTGGTTTTTTTTAAAGTGGTTAAAACTCATTTTGCTGCTGGCCCCTTCCACAGCAGTACATTGCTTAGCTTCTGTGGCAGCACTCCTGCCTGCTTCTCCAATGTGCCGACTGACATCTACTGTATCTAATACACTGATTATGGATAAGTACCTCATACAACATCACCGACCAATCCCTTTAATGTGTCACTTACTTTTGACATATCAGCAGACATCATGACCTCATTTTTTGCATCAGGACTTAGTACTCTTCTGTCATTCAAGATGCATATTTTCAAAATGTGCTCAGTTTTAATGCTGATGCTGTGCCGATTACATAAATCGTCAAACTGTGATAATCAGATCATGGGAAACATGGCTGAGCAGCAAGTTTTTTTTTTAAAAAAAAAGAAAAGGAGCACAACAAATAATGCAGAAACTTTTGAAAGATTACACCCTTGAGATTTAGGAAGCCTTATCCAAGGACATTAGGGAAACATATATACTGTATGCACACAACCAACACAATTACTTCATATTGAGAACAATAATTAAGTGAATTAAAATCCTAGCATGTACATCCATAGCACTTTATACCAAATACCTGACCTTTCCAGTGTTAAAAGAATAGTTTGGATTATAAAGAATACACTTTTTTTGCCAAGAGTTGGATGGGACTGATAGGCTACCACTATCATATTTGCACATCAATCAAGAAGCTACAGCCAGCAGCCGGCTAATGTAGCTTAGCACACAGCTAGCCTGGCTTTGTCCGAAGCCACAAAATATAACATGTTAATTTGTAGTAACAGCTGTAGAGGTGCCCATAGGTGGATTTTTTTTTACCTTAGGACAGAGTCAAGCTGGTTGTTTCCCTATTTCCAGGCTTTCTGCTAAGCTAAGCTAAGCTAAGCTAAGCTAAGCTAAGCTAAGCTAACCTGCTGCAGCTTCCACACGTCTTTGGGAATGGTATCAATCTTCTCATCTAGCTATTGGCAAGAAAACAAATTAGCACATTTCACACAAAGTGTAACTATTCCTTTACGGTTAACTGAACACAGCATACAGTTCAGTCCACTTTGAGGGCACTGGTATAAACACAGGCCCATACTGTGCAATGACTCCCAGCCCATAAAAGGTCCAGTGTGTAGGACTAAGGAGCATCTACTTGGTGGTATTGGTATATAATATGCATGACTATATTTTCATTTGTTTATAATCACCTGAAACTAAGAACTGGTGTGTTTTCATTACCTTAAAAGAGCCATTTACATCTACATAAGGAGTGGTCCTCTCCAGGCCCCCAGGAAGGCAGCTCACCTCTATTCCACAGTGGCCACTGGTGGTATTGCAGCAAGAAATCCGCTGCAGCTTTAAAAGCATTTTCCCCATGGACCACCATTAAATAAAGAGACTGCTGTAAAACTGTTAAGAGGACGCCTCGTACGGCAAACAAGTTCACTTATGACTCTTTCAACTAAGAATCAATGATCCATGGAGGTTTAATAAAAAGTTTAAAACTTTCTTCAAGCTGAGAAAAACAACTGAAAATCTGTGATATCATCACAATGTCAAGTCAAGCAGGAGCTCACTTACTCCAGAATTGAACCACGAGGTTAGAAACTTTTTTTGACATATGCACGCGAGCAATTCCATTGGACTGAACACTCCATCATAGATGGTCCTCTCCCAGGGAATCAACCATGTTCTACAGTTGTCCACAACAAACAAGTCAAATACTGGCTAGGGCCATTTGCATTTTCACATCACCTGCCGTAGTTCTCCTGCATGCATGGCACATAGTGAAAGTTTAAGTTCTGCAACCTCACCACTAGATGCCACCAAATCCGACACACTGGACCTTTTAACACATGTACTGTACAGAAACCCAACAAGCACAAAGGTTACTGTAAATGGCACTGACAGACTGATGTCATTTTATTAAAATGGACACACCATGGTCGAGGCCTTTAAAACACACAAAACTTAAAAGGTTGAAGAACTGAAGATAAATTCTGCTTTCTGTGTTATGTTAAATACTGTCTTTTAGATGCCTTGAAAATAAGGGGAGGAGCTTTATTGTCATGGGAAAAAAATCACAGTCAATAAAAGTTCAATTAGCTTAAATATCCTCTTTTCTACCAAAGGGAGAAAACCTCCCATTTACAGATTGCTGCAATTGAGGTAACAGCACATTCTCTTAATGTAAGATAATTGCAGCACATTTCAAACTACAGGTACCGTGCTGAATGTGCTTTCAAAAAGCCATCTTTATCATTGCATTTGATATGTCATTTTACACTTGTTCTGTATTTGTTTTTGAAAATTACCAAGAGTTTGGTCTGTTAAATGGTTTATTTCATGCCAATAAAAATGACTGAAGAAATGAATGGCCACCGAGTCTAATTGCAGGAAACACTATGACCTACGTATCTATAAAAAGCTCAGCTTCCTCAAACCTATGTAAAACAGGAGGTAAACCAGTCTTTTGACATGCCTCGTATTGTAACTACTCAGTTCCTCAAACTTTCCTCTACATGTTGTTGTGGATCAAGACGTTGACTATAGGTGTAGGCTCGCTATTAAACTGAAACTGCACAACCAAAAGGGGAAGCAAGATATTTACTGGAGGAAAAAAAAAGGGAAAAATACTTCAGCAGTTTGCACATAGTTCTCAAACATTTCAGCATGAAGTCAGCTTTACTTGATAACTAGAAGCAGGGATACATTTAAGGTTCAGGGTGCTCTGATTGAAAACATCTCAGTGTGGCTGACATTTCAATAAATTAGAATTTAATCCATTTAATTTAATCCAAAATGTGTCACAGTTGAAAAAGTCTGGTTAGAGTTGAACTGTAATGATTGCACATTCACAAATCTGCTAATATTTGTCTGTAAAGTTATTAAAGAGGCAATATTATGTTAACATTAATTAGTGAAGGAACTCTGGTTTAAAGGCTTGTTTCAATGTTTCCCGAGCTGTCGCCTTGCTAATAATTTAACTGTAACCTATAGGGACTTCTAAGTCATGTGAGGTACAGTCAGGGAAGTGGCTAACTGACATTTAATGTCTTCATGTCTAAAAGTTACAGTCATCCCAGTAAAAAAATAACTTCTTAAAAACAATATCAGACGAGAGAAATACTCCAGTGAGCACCCAAACTTGACTTTTAGTATCAACATTTCATAAACATAAAAACCCTCTACAATAAAAGCAAAATTGAGGTATTGAAATACAAGTCGACATCATAATTGATCCAAATCAGGTCAGACTTAATCTCATTGCCATCCAACTGAGACTGAAAATACTGGCAGTGTGCAATTGGCAGATTAGCAGCAAAGACACTTGTAACATTAATCACAACTCCCTCAAAATATTTGAATCTCACTCTCCCCATTGATGCTAAAAACATTTGCTAAAGACGTCGATGTTCATCAACAACCATAGGGCAAAAATCTGGATTCATTATACAAAACGGACATATTTTAAAAAAGATCACTCCTCATTACAAAACAACTTTGTGCAAAAACAAATGGAAAATTTTGTGAGTGTTTCCATTTCAATGACAAATACTGTAGCTGCTCAGTTCAGATGGGACAAAGACGTATTGCACAAACACTGACTGAACTGTCGGAGATGAATTTTGTACCAACTAACAATGTCATTCCTGTGATAACCCAAATCTTTCCTCATCTGCCCCACAGAAAACCTGCCCAGGGTTTAGCATAAGTGGCAAGAATACCCTGACTATTCAGCTGTGACATTTACAAAACCATCCTGACTCTGCCACTGGACCATGTACTGTAGCACCAGATCTCACTTTAGCATTGTTCTAAACCTGCAGTGATTAAAGCCTATGGAATAACTTACTATGCAATGCATTATCCAAGAACACATACATTAAAGAAACAGAAAGGCACATTCAGTTTAAGTTTCTCTCTTGGTTTGAAGTTGAAAGCAGTTGTTGGGAGGATGTTTCCCATGGCAGTTCATTGAGTTTCACCATCAAAACAAGAACAAGAAACCACTTTGATCCATCCTACTGCTGTGGTCAGAAGAGAAGCCTTCACACCTGGAATGTTTGTGATCCGCAGATATGATCTGTTGATCTGGTTGCTGGATTTAGAGGCTCTTCTTCAGCTTGAGTTGGGGTTTGATAGAGAGACTTGGGAAGGCAATCTGTGGTTCTGACCAGGACTACCCGAGTAGGTTTATCCAGTCAGGTGACTAACCAGTCCGGGGTGTAAGGCTTGTTTCAGGACATCAGGCCGATGGAGCTGGGGCATGTAGAGTGTAGGAGGAGGGGCAGTGTGGTAGCTGGAAGATGGGTAGCCCTGACTGGGAATGGGGGA